AAAGTCACCTAATGTTCAGTACAGAGATAACTACATTTTGTTCTGCATATTCTTTTTTGTATAGTTAAGATAATAAATTTTCCCTTTGCTTTGATTGTTGTGTATTAGTGAAAACTTGATTCAACACAGATTCCTCTAGGGTTATATGGTGTTTTAAAAAGACAGTATTTCCTTATTTATTTTATTTTTTTAAAGATTTATTTATTTTTATTACAAAGAGATAGAGAGGAGGAGAGACCGAGAGGAAGATCTTCCATCTGCTGATTCACTCCCCAAGTGAGCACAATGGCCAGTACTGCGCCAATCTGAAGCCAGGAGCCAGGAACCTCTTCTGGGTCTCCCACGCGGGTGTAGGGTCCCAAAGCATTGGGCCATCCTCGACTACTTTCCCAGGCCACAAGCAGGGAGCTGGAAGGGAAGTGGAGCTGCCGGGATTAGAACCGGCATCCATATGGGATTCTGGTGCGTTCAAGGCGAGGACTTTAGCTGCTAGGGCACCACGCCACCGGGCCCTATTTATTTTTTTAATTGGCGTGAGACACAGTAGGAGAAAGCTCACTCCCCACATGCCCACGATGGCAGACACTGGGCCAAGACCGGAGCCAGAACTGGGAACTTAGTCCAGCAGAAACCCAGTTACTTGAGATACCAGCTCTGCCTCCCAATGCCTGTGCTCAGACCTGGGCACTCTGATGGGGAAGAGCAGACCTGGACTGCTCAACTCCTGTGCCAGGACACTGATTTTTAAATCTTTGTTTACTTCTTTACCTTCAGAAGTTAGAGGATTTTGTGACATATGAAACTATTATTACATAACTTTAATTGTTGAATTTGGCTAGTGCTTGGATGGTTAGAAGTGATATCCTGTTTTAACTTGTCATAGAAATTTTTCTCCTATTTTTTACATGACTTTTAGAATTACTTATCCTTTAGTGTCATAGTGGTTTTGCATTAATTTATATGAACTCCTTAAAAGGTTTGTTTTCTTTAGCTTCCTCATTTGTAATTTATACTTTTTTTAACATATAACTTATTTTGTGTTTGAAATCCATATAGTTTTGATAGTTTCATTTTTCAGTTTAAAGTTTTCTGCTTTCAGAGTTTTTGTAACATTTATTTGTCTTATTTAGTATAACCGATTAATCCATCTATAATTTATTTTGAATCGTGGTACAAGTTACAAGTTTATTTATGCTTGATGAGCAATACTTTGAGCTTGTAGCTGAACTCTACTTATCATTCCTACAATATAATTTTCATGCTGTTCTGAGAAAAATGCCATCTTAAGCTTCTTATTTCTGCAGGCTGATGGTTGTTGGTTCACAGTGAAGTTTAAATACAAAGAAAGATTAAAAGGAAGCCATAGTGACAGCTTATATTTTAACAATGAAAAATGACCTTTTATCTGGCAAATACAAATTCAGTTAAAGGTTGAGACACTATTTATGACTGGCATTTCATTAGAAAAGTGAAAGCATTTGTATATTCTGGAAATAATTTTTTTTTAAACAAAGGAACCTATTACAATGTTTTTAGTCAGTGAGAATATTCTAGACTTTTTAGACTGCCAGAATTTGGAAAAAGCCTGTGCTTTGGCAGGAGCCCAGGAAAGGAAGTGTTTGCATCTGCTACATTCTAGAAGCTTTCCCCAAGTCACTGTAAGGCAGCCAAGAAAGCAGTGTGTCTCACTGCTGTGTGTTTCTGGAAGAATCTGGAAGTTTGTAGCAACTTTGAGGGAGGAGATTTAGAAGCACTTTGAGAATGTAGTTTTTGTGGTGATATATTTTTATTAAGTTTCATTCAAGTGGTGTTCTTTTCTAGCTTTTGTGGAATAGAGAGCTTTCACTGTGGACTTGAGGCATAGGTGAAGTCACCCAGGAAGGAATCAGAGGTGCTGGCACAAAAAGAACAGGGTAACTGGCTAGTCCTAGTAACCAAAGGCAACCTAGGATGGGACAGACACACTGAGATGTTAAGTTAATGTCCACTATTGGACATTATGAAGGGAAAGCAAGGTGAAGTCTTTCTGTTGGTTAGTTGATAACTTCCCCTTTAGAAGTCAGTGCTACAGAGAGAAAAGACAGAATGTTATGCTAGATTTAGAAGGGGGAAAAGCCATAGATGTGTGGCAGGTTAAGAAGTTTTATTTTGAGGGGCTGGCACGATGGCTTAATTGACTAATCTTCTACCTGCAAGTGGCATTATCCCATATGGGCGCCAGTTCCTGTCCCGGCTGTTTCACTTCCAAGGCAGCTCCGAGCTTATGGCCTGGGAAAGCAGTGGAGGATGGCCCAAAGCCTTGGAACTCTGCACCTATGTGGGAGACTCAGAAGAAGCTCCTGGGTTCAGATTGGCTCAACTCCAGCCATTGTAGCCATTTAGGGAGTGAACCAGCAGATAAAAGATCTTCCTCTCTGTCTCTCCTCTCTTTGGATCTTCCTTTTCAATAAAAATAAGTCTTAAAATAAAGATTTAAAATTTTTAACACAATAGAGAACACTTAAGACTGGGTCTTTAGAAGGAACATACGGTTTAAATAGGGCTGTTTATTCTTTTTGGATCACTATAACTCAAAAACAGAAACTGGGTGGGCATTTGGTTGAGGGGTTAGGATGCCCACACTGTGTCTGAGTGCCTGAGTTTGATTACTGATTCTAGCTGCAGCTGCCTACCAGTGCAGACCCAGAGAGACGCTCACATAGTTGCTTTCCTGCCATTCGCGTGGGAGTCCTGGACCAAGTTCCTAGCACCTGGCTCCATTCTCAGCTCCACCCTAGCAAATGTGGGCATTTGACGAGTGCACCAGTGGCTAGGAGCTCTGTCTGTCATTCTGTCCCTTGAACAAAATAAATAAAACTGTAAAACTCACTAGCACCATTAAGATGCAATTCATACACCACACCATTTATCCATTTAACATCCATTTTTGTTTTGTATTAGATGAAGTCAGTATGTTAAAGTTACCCCACCATAAATCACTGTAGTCAGTTTTAGAAGAACACCCCTCTTTTTGGATTGATTTATTTTGAAAGCTTGAGCGTGAACAAGTGATGTCCACATGCTGGACATCCAGCCCTACCTGCTCCCAACCCCAGTTACCATGAGTGTCCGTGAGTGCATGGTCATGTTTAGCCTGGCTGGTCACCCTCCCCAGCTCCCGTGCAAACCCATGGAGGTGAACCCACAATGTCTTCCACAAAATCTGCCCCCAGACCTGGTTCTCTCACATGCCAGTTATTGTCATGGCCTATACTTGATGGCCCCTCTCCTGCCTCGACACTCACTGGTGGCTACTGTGGCCTATCCCTGCCAGGCATGCGCTGGCAGGCAGTGGGTGATGCCAACAAGCCTAGCCCAGGTCTCCCATCAGGTCTCCCATGTGGATGGATGTGTTGTTCTGATCCAGACATGCCCCCCTCAAAACCACCCATTCTCAGCTCCCTTGTTTACCTGGGAGTACAGTGGCCCAGTCCTTGGAAGCCCCAAAAAGTCATTCCACACCTGTAAGATACTCTCTCAGCAGCCCCATGTCCACACATTCCCCTACCCCTATTTTGGACCCTGGGGTCATCTTCTGGTGGGGCCCAGAGGTAGCGGTAGCAACAAGGACCCTGAGTTGAATTCCCCACCAATTTTTTGTTAATTAAAAAAATATAGGCATCTATACTGGCACACTGGAATAAATAACACAAATTTGACATTATCCAGGCCTAGAATGCCTGCCAGCTATTGACCGCTTTTTCTCCCAGCAGCAGTATAACACTTGCCTAGCTTTAATGGAATTAGAGAGAGAGACATTCCACAAATGACCTCAGTGAACAGGGCTGGGCCAGGCTGGAATCAGGAGCTGCTGATCTCCCATGTGGGAGGCAGGGGCCCAAATACTTAGGTCATCTTCTGCTGTCCCAGGTACATTAGCAGGGAGCTGAATTGGAAGTAGAGCCTCCAGGACTCCCACTGTTCCCTATAGGATGCTGGCAGTGCAGGTAGAAACTTAACTTGCTACACCCACTTTCTACCTGACACCCCCTTTCACATATCAACAATAAAATTCTACATTGATTATTTAGATTTATGTATTTATGACAACTGAATAGAGCGTCATTGATCAGCTGGTTTGCTTCCCAAATAGCCACAAAGGGCTCGAACTGGCAAATCTGAAGCCAGGAGCTTCTTTTGGGTCTCTGATGTGAGTGCAGAGGCCCAAGGACTAGGGCCATCCTGTGGTAATTTCCCAGTCCGTAAGCAAGGAGCTGGATTGAAAGTGGGGAAGTTGGAACATGAATCGGCACCTATATGGGATATCGGTGCTGCAGATGGATGCTTAGCCTACAATGCTTGGTGCCAGTCCCATTTTATTTCTATTTATTTTAGAATTTGAAGTATTGATGGAAAAAGACCAATTAGTAATTTTAAGAACTAAACAGCTCTGTTTTTGTAAAACAATTGCCTATTTTTAAAAAGGAATTGGTAATATTTAAGCAATTTTTTTTCCTAAAAATTTATTTACTTAAAAGAATGAGAGAGAGGAGAGACAGATCTTCAATCTGCTGATTTCCTCCCCAAATTGTCACTGAGGCTAGGGCTGGGCAGGTCTGAAGCTTTGTGATCAGGAGCTGCTGTTGAGTCTCACACAGGGGTGTAGGGGCTCAAGGACGTGGGCCATCCTCCACTGACTGCTTCCCAGGTCATTTCCAAGGAGCTGGGTCATAAGTGGGGCAGCTGAAACTTGAACCAGTGCACTTATGGGTTGCTGGCCACCACATGTATTGGATTAACTTGCTAAGCCATTAATGTTGACACCAAAATTATTTTAATGTAAGATTCTCTCTCTTTTTTTTATGGGAAGTGCTTCAAGAAAACTTTTTAAGCTATATTAATACTATTGTTCAATTACTCCAGTTACAATAGTAACTTTAAAAATTGGGTTGAATTATTAATCGTATAGTGTACATTTATGTTTTTCTTGAAATGTCACGGTAACATGAATCATAGTATTAAATTAACATTAATTCTGTAGCTAGACTTGGACTTTGACTTTTATTTGCGGAAAGAATAGGTAAGGGATGTTTCCTATGGATTTGTTTTTATTGATGGTTGTATCTCTCTTGTAGGTGTGTGAGCCTGTGTCACTAAGTCTTCCAAGATGATCTGGTTTATTTTAATAGCAGGGATTCTACTTGCTCCATCTTTGGCTCATCCAGGGTTTTTTACTTCAATAGGTGAGTCTTAATTTTTGACTTACTTTGCATGTAACATGTACTTTTAAAAAATGTTTTTAAATAAATAAAAGCAAATATCATGTTCACAAAGGCTGAAACATTTTTACTTCCTGCATTCTAAAAGATCTTATCTGGAAAAAAAAAAAACCCTTTAACCAGTGTGGTAGCCTAGTGGCTAAAGTCCTCGTCTTGCACATGCTGGGATCCCATATGGATGCCGGTTCTAATCCCAGTGGTTCCACTTCCCATCCAGCCCCCTGCCTGTGGCCTGGGAAAGCAGTCGAGGACATTCCAATGCCTTGGGACCCTGCACCCGCGTGGGAGACTCAGAAGACGCTCCTGGCTTTGGATCAGCTCTGCTCCAGCTGATGCAGCCACTTGAAGAGTGAATTAGAGGATGGAAGATCTTTGTGTCTGTTTCTCCTTCTCTGTATAAATCTGACTTCCAATAAAAATAAATAAATTCTTTAAAAATAATGAGGAAAAAATAAAAAACACAGTAGGTAGAGTCTAAGACCTCTCTATGTCCTCTTGCTCCTAAAATGTTCCTTATAGTTTGATACATATCCTTGTTTCTTTAAGGTGTACTTTGTCTAGAGTAAGACATTTTCTTCATTTTGTTGCCCGATTTTATTGTTGTAGTGTTGTAGTGCTAACTAAATCATGAGTGTTATATATTTATGACACTTGATTTCAGGATTTAAAATGTTAAATTCTTTTAAATAACATATTTAGTCATTTAGAATGAATTAAAACTTTTTAATGTAATTTTTGTTTATGCAAATTACTTTTAAAAAACAAAAGAGAGGGTTGGGCCCGGCGCGGTGGCGCAAGTGGTTAAGTCCTCGCCTTGCACGCCCGGGATCCCATATGGGCGCCGGTTCTAATCCCGGCAGCCCTGCTTCCCTTCCAGCTCCCTGCTTGTGGCCTGGGAAGGCAGTCGAGGACGGCCCAAAGCTTTGGGAACCTGCACCCGCGTGGGAGACCCGGAAGAGGCTCCTGGCTTCGGATCGGCATAGTATCGGCCCGTTGCGCTCACTTGGGGAGTGAATCATCGGATGGAAGATCTTCCTCTCTGTCTCTCCTCTCTGTATATCCGCCTTTCCAATGAAAAAATAATAAAAATAAATCTTAAAAAACAAAAAACAAAAAAAAAAAAAACAAAAGAGAGGGTAAAAATAGTGAAATAACTGGTCTTTGGGAAGTAGGTTTTTTTTGTTTTTGTTTTAGGCTTTTTTTAGGGTTTTAATTTTTACTGGTAAGCTAAATCAGATTTATGATGACAAAGAGAGACAAATATCTTCTATCCGCTTGCTCATTCCCCAAGTGGCTTTAGTTGCCAGAGGAAAACCGATCCAAAGCCAGGAGCTAGGAGCTTCTTCCATCTCTTCTATGGAGGTGTAGAATTCCAAGGCTTTGACCCATCCTCTAGTGCCCTCCCAGGCCACAAGCAGGGAGCTTTGTGGGAAATGGAGCAGCTGGGACATGAACTGGCACCCATGTGGGAATCCTAGTGCTTGTAAGGTGAGGATTTAGCCCGTGAGCCATTGTGTCGTTCCCAATGGTGTTGTTTTTAATTTACAAGTGCACTTACAGAAGAAAAGACAATCTGTCAGCATTGTCCAAGCCTACAAAATTAAGTAGCTTGAAAATCAAATTGGAATTCATGATTAGGAAAGTTGTTGACTTTGATTTGTCTAGTAGAAAAAAGGTGACAAAATGATAAATGTTCCCAACATACCTGAGCATTCCTGATCATTCTTAAAGCATTGTGTAATACTTGTGTGGATGAACGTGTTTGATAACTTCCTTCCTCTCTGTCCCTTCTAGGTCAGATGACTGACTTGATCTACACTGAGAAAGATCTGGTGACTTCTCTGAAAGATTACATTAAGGCAGAAGAGGACAAATTGGAACAGATAAAAAAGTAAACGGGAGTTTTATTTACTGTGACTGAGTCTACCTTAATGTTTTCTGAATTAAACATTGTTTGAGTAGAAGTTAGAGCTGTCAGTTTCATTCTAATTGGTTGAAATGACTAAAAGCACAGAATGCAAATTAGGCCTGGTCCCGGGTTTATGTGGAAGAAAACGGGTTGATGTGGAGACAGGGCTGGCTTGGGGAACTGGCTGGCTGGTTGCCAGTGCTGCTGCTGGTGACCGCAGTCAGCTTGCTCACCTGGCTTACAAGTTGTGTTTGTATTTCACTCCTAAGGTTCCCTTGTAGATGCTTCAGAATCAGTATGCTTAGTATTATTTACTTCATATATATTTTTTCAAATGCTAGCTTGTTTAATTGACTCAGGTTGATGATAATCCTAATAACCTGTGTCTTAATAAGTAGCCAGGTATCCAGTTTTTGTTTTAAAATGCAAGTATAATTTCTAGATATTATTGGATGCAAAGATTTGGTTAAAACTAACATGCACTGATTTTGTGTCGTTCATTTGTATTACATGGAGTAATAATCAGTTATTTGACTGTAATGAGTAAATGAATTTTTAGATTTTATTTAGAAGGATCCTGTAACAACATTTAATAAAGATAGTAACTATAAATTTGATAGAAGCAGAAATAAAACAAAAAGCCTTATTATCTGCAAAGTTAGATTTTGTTTTGTAAGAGGACCTTGATTTTATTTTTTCAATTTATTTTTTTATAATCTTACTTAGTTACTTAGGATACAAAGGGTAAAGGGTTACGGGAAAGTGGGTAATACCATTGTTTTCACACTAATATCATTCTTTTTTCCGTGTGTCTGGTGTCAGGGGAGAAATAAAGGGAGAAACCCCATCTAGCCTCTCTCCCATCCCAGGTCCCCAATGTGAGGCACGCTCCAAGGAGGACCTTGATTTTTAAAGGACCTTTATAATTTTATTTTATGAAGAAGTCATAGGTATTATTTAATTCAGAAACATCGCAAGTAGTTTTTTTTCTAACAAGTTACTAATTGCAGTTTTGTGTCTTTTATCTGTAGATGGGCAGAGAAATTAGATCTGCTCACCAGCACAGCAACGGAAGATCCCGAAGGATTCGTTGGGCATCCTGTGAATGCGTTCAAGTTGGTGAAGCGCCTGAACACTGAGTGGAGTGAGCTGGAGAACCTCGTCCTGAAGGACATGTCCGACGGTAAGCCTGAGGGAGCAAGACCGTGCGCTCAGTGTTCTTAGAAGTGCCAAAACTGAACAAAAGAAATGCTGAAATGAGTGATAATCGTGGTTCTCGGGCATCGTGTTCAGTATTGTAAGTGAATTATTGCTTGGGTGCATTGGTTTTGATTAGAGTTAATCTAGTCAGGTTCTTCAATTCTTTGATTAAAAAATAATTTATGCTGTTAGTAGCTAAGACTTTTTTTTATAGAGAATAAGAATGTACAGATTTTTTTGGTCTATAGCTTCATTTTACTTTCATTTCTTCAAGCTTTAAGAATTTATGTACAAGTTTTAAAATAATTCAGTGATAATGATAAAGAGTTAGTTGTGTTTTCCTTAGTGTTATGAATTAGGTTTGTTTTACATGAGTTCTTCAAAGAGTTCATGGGAAAATGCATTTAGGAAAAACATGCTTGGATTTAAAACATTTTTGCAGCAAAGTAAACTTACCTTTAATGCTTTGTAAAATTTTGAGGAGTGGAGAGGCAGCCAAGGAGAGCTTCCATTGATTGGTTTATTCCCCAATGCCTGTAACTGCCCAGGTCCAAGGCTGAGGTCTGCAGCCAGGAACTTAATCCAAGTTTCCCACATGGTGAAAAGTAATCCATTTAATTGAGCAGTCACCAGAACCTCCCAGGCTCTGGGCTGTAACAAGTAAGGGACAGGAGCTGGAGGTGGACTCCAGACATGTGGGGTAGAACACAGCCATCATAATGCCTGGGGAAAACTTACATTTAGATGAGATCGGGCACGTTCAGGGTGGTATGGCCATAAACTCACTTTTTAAAAGCTATTGATTAGGCCTGGTGTGGTAGCCTGGTGGGTAAAGTCTTTGGCTTGTGCATGCCAGGAGCCTGCATGGATGCCAGTTGGTGTCCCAGTGGCCCTGCTTCTTAGCCAGCTCCCTGCCTGTAGCCTGGGAAAGCAGTCGAGGACAGCCCACAACTTTGGGATGCTGCACCCATGTGGGAGACCCAGAAGAGGCTCCTAGTTCCTGGCTTTGAATCGGCTCATCTCCAGCCATTGCAGCTGCTTGGGGAGTGAATCAGTGGATGGAAGATCTTCCTCTCTGTATCTCCTCCTTTCTGAATCTCTGACTTTGCAATAAAAATAAATAAATCTTGGGTTATAGAACCATCTTCCATGTGCTGGTTCACAGTAGCTAGAGCTTGATTAGGCAAGGCCAGCAACAAGGGTTTCACATTGGTGGCAGGGTCTCAGCACTTGAGTCATGTGCTGCCTCCCCTGTATGACACAGGAGCCTGGGTCTGAAGCAGAGGCAGGCAGGACTCGTCCCAGGCACTCTGCTTTGGGATGCTTGTCCCAGGACACAGTTTACCCACTCTGCCACAGCATTACCCCACAGCTCCATGAACAAGTGAAGGGTTCCACTTGATACAGATAACATGTTGGAAAACAGGCGGTAAACAATAGTGATGAGTTCATGTGCTTAAAAGAAAAACAAAATCATAGTTGGAGTGAGTTTTTAGTATCTCAGTAATAGACACAGAAAATTAAGTCTGGAGTTTAAGGAGGAGAGGATTATGCTTAGTACACAGTAAAGACTCCAGTATTTGTTGAATGAATGAGGATGGCAAAGAAAGAAAAAGTAGAAGAGAGCATACCAGTGCAAGTGCTGAGTGAACTACAGAGATAAAGCATTCTAGGACTGCTTGGCAGGGTCTTAGAGCAGGGAAGCAAGCTAGTATGAATAGGACAGGAAATCTTGAAAGAATACTTCACTATTTGTGCTTATAGGTTTGTTCTGAAAGAAATGTTTGTAATCAGTTTCTCTATAAAATACTCTGAGCAGATTCTTAGGAAAATGAGTGTGTATGTTGAATCTGAAGTAATAAGTTGAAATAATTCCTTATGTTAATCTTGAGACTCTGATGTTTTAATCTGTGGTCGTTATCCCATAGTGCCTCTATGTATATGTTTTTCCCATATTAGACAGGATTTAAACTACTTTTTGGATTTTGTTATGGTGTATAAGAAATAGCATTGTTTTCTGAAAAAAATTGTGGAAAATTCCATGTAGACTGCTAGTAAGAGTTGGTCTTAAAAGTGAAAAATATGCTTGATGTGAACTTTCACCCTCTTTGGCTAGTTGTTCATTTGTACATTTCCATTTACATAAAAATACTTGTCTTTTGTGGCTGACTATAACTGAGAAGAGAGGAAAGTGTCATACCTATTTTTTTTTTTTGCAAATTTTGACACCTGTGTTATTTAAAATTTTAAACTACTTTTGAGTTTTTAAAAACTTATTTTTAAACGAGGATTTAGCATCCATTCTTAGGGGTTATATAATTGGTCAGTAATTTTTTTTCTGTGATGTACATCTTTAAAGTTAGTCTTAAAATTTGTTTATTTAAAAGGAAGAATAACAGAAAAGAACAGACAGACTTTCCATCCACTGGTTTGCTCTCCAGGAGCTTTTAAAGTCCGTAGAGCTGGGCACAATTGAGGTACTGGGACCCTGCCACGGTTTTCAGAGGTGGCAGGAACCCAGGTCGTTGGGCCATCATCTGCTGGGGTATTTTCCCCTGTGCCTTAAAGGGGAAAAGATAGGGAGCAGAGTAGCCCAGACTCCAACCGGTGCTCTGCTGGCAGCGTAACTCACTCTCCACAACACAGGCCTCAAGAAATTCTTATCTACAGCAGATCTTGACTGATAAACATTACATATGATGGTTAGATCTAACTTTATTTCTTTTTCTTAAATATATAATTAGTATATCTTCATTCCATGCAAAGAATTCCACCAAGCTTCATGTATACACTTATTTATATAATGTGTGGTACATAGAAAAAGGAAACAGACTGTTTAAGAGCACAGATTTCACGTACCATCTGTTATCTGAACGTGTAACTTGTTGCTGCTGAATGTCACCTTCAGATTCATAAATGTGTTCATTCCTGCAGCCGGCACTGAGGCTTATGTTCTATTATGACGTAACTAAAACCTCAGTGTTACCCTAACATGACAGATCTAATTTATTATGGTCAGCTCAGATTACTTAGGCAATATTAGAAAGAATCTGGGAAGGTTAATAAGTTAATATTTTTCTTACTGATGTGGAACTTCATATAATGGAAAATGGTAATAAATGGATTTTAAGAAAATCTATAAAGATTGTGTTTTGGAAACACATGAGACTCTACAGTTCTGCTTTTTTTTTCTTCCTGTGTCAGGCTTTATTTCTAACCTGACCATCCAGAGGCAGTATTTCCCTAATGATGAAGATCAGGTCGGGGCAGCCAAAGCTCTGTTGCGTCTCCAGGATACCTACAATTTGGATACAGATACCATATCAAAGGGTAATCTTCCAGGTAAGATAATTCTTGCAGTGTGTAAAATACCGTGGCTGCTGTCTTCAAAATTGAGTCCATTGGGACAATGTGTAGTGTAAAAAAAAAAGATGTCTTTTAAAGCAAGTTGGTATTTATTTATTAACTTGAAAAGCGGAATTACAGAGAGGAGGAGAGAGAACGAGCTTCATCGCTGGGTCACTCTCCAGAGTGAGCAGTGGCTGTGCTCAGTGTGAAACGCTGGGTCTCGTGTGCGTCTCCCACATGGATGGCAGGGGTTCCAAGCACTTGGGCCATCTTCTGCTTTCTCAGGTACATTAGCAGGCAGCTGGATTGGAAGTGGACCAGCCCCTGTGTGCAAGCATTACAGGCTGTCATTTAACTACTTTGCCACAAAGCTAGACCCTATTTTAAGGTTTTAAATTAGTTTGTCATTTGGGCGAATGGAGACTAGGTCAGCCAATGGACACTGGAAGGAGTTCCTCATCCTTGGATCAACAAGATCAAATGCATTTCAGAACTATCAAAATCACTTGGGCAGAACCCTTGGAGCATGTGCCACATCAGGGTCTTTGGGTTGATTTTCCATTTTGCCATTTAATGGTATACTATCAGAAACACAAAATAATAGAGTCCTATTGAACAATTCCAGTTCTGACTCTTAAATGTGTGACCTAAGACACAGATTAACTTTCTGCATACAGTTTTTAAAATTTTTATTTCAAAGGCAGATATTAAAGCAAGAGAGAGACCTTCCATCTGCTGATTCATTCCCCAAATGGCCCCAATGGCTGTAGCTGAGCCAATTGGAAGTCAGAAGCAGCTTCTGGGTTTCCCACGTGGGTGTAGGGGCCCAAGGACTAAGGGCCATCCTGTGCTGCTTCCTAGTCTGTAAGCAGGGAGCTGGAGGGGAAGTGGAACAGCTGGGACAGGAACCAGAGCCATATGGGATGCCAGTGCTGCAGATGAATAGCTTGCTGCACCACTGCACTGGCCCCATGTATATAATTTGGTTGTTGCTTAATCTGTAAGAGGATTGCTTTGAAGCATACTTACGTGGCAGGTGCCTGACATTTAGCAAGACATCATTATTTAAAGGTTTTTTTTCATGGTTGTTTTAATTTTGTATTTTATGATTGAGACTTTTCTCAACTGTTCTAATTTTTTATATACTTTTAAAAAATATTTTTTTTTATTATTTTTTTATTGGAAAGCTGGATATACAGAGAGGAGAGACAGAGAGGAAGATCCTCCTTCCGATGATTCACTCCCCAAGTGAGCGCAACGGCCGATCTATGCTGATCTGAAGCCAGGAGCCTCTTCCGGGTCTCCCACACGGGTGCAGGGTCCCAAAGCTTTGGGCCGTCCTAGACTGCCTTCCCAGGCCACAGGCAGGGAGCTGGATGGGAAGCAGGGCTGCCGGGATTAGAATCGGCGCCCATATGGGATCCCGGGCGTGCAAGGCGAGGACTTTTAAACCACTGCGCCATCACGCCGGGCCCAACCGTTTTGATTTTGTTTATAATTTATCTCATGCAAAATATCAAGTATTTGTTTAAGGTAGAAGTTTCACCTCAAAAAGCACTAGACATACTACCACCGAAAGCATAGGTGAATGGAAAGATTAGTAGGATTAACTGTCATGATTAATGGCCATAATTTTATACGTCCAAGTATACTGCCATGAAAGTGAAAAGGCAGTTCAGTGAAGGAGACATGGTACACGTGGTCAGGACCTTGTCCGTAGGAAGTGTGAAGAACTCTTAAGTTTGTAGTAAAAAGGTAGCCAAATGTTTTAAATGAGTAGAAGATTTAATTTTTTTTCCAGAGAGGATACACAAATGGAAAATAAGCACGTGAAAAGATGCTCAACTTCATTACTTATTAGGAAAATGTGAATTAAAGGCACAGTGAAATGCTATCTCAGATCCACAAAAGGTCCATAATAAAGATGGACAGGGTCTGGGATCGGCGTCTGGCCCAGCGGTGAAGAGCCTCGTCCTGGAGTGCCTGGGCTCAGATTCTGGCGCTACTCCACGTTCCGTTTTCTTGACAGTGCGTACAATGGGAGGAAGCAGGTGATGACTCGGGAGTTGGGTTCCTGTCACCCACATGGGATAGCTGGATGGTGTTCCCAGCTGCTGGTGTTGCCCTGGCATTTTGAGTGATTCAGTACATGAGGAAATCCTGTTTGTCACACAAGTTAATTTAGTATTACTTTTAAAAGAATTGTTTATTTGAAAGGCAAGGTTACGGAGAGAGGAGGGGAGAGATGGAGATCTTGAATTCTCTGGTTCACTCCCCAAGTGGCCATAAAGTCTGAAGTCAGGAGACAGGAACTTGTGGGTTTCCTAAGTGGATGTGGGGCCCAAAGACTTGGGCCATCTTCCACGGCTCTCCCAGGCACATTAGCAGGGAACTGGATCCTAAGTGGAACAGCTGGAACTTGAACCAGTACCCATATGGGATGCTGGCACCATAGTCGCAGCTTATTCTCTATGTCATAGCATCAGCCCCAAATTATTATTTTAGAAGACACTTTTTCAAAAAACGACAATAACAAGTACTGGCAAGGTGTTGAAGAAGTTGGAATTGTGCTGGAATTGGAGATGGTGTGTAGCCACATTGGAAAATAACAGTTCTTTACAGTGTTGAGCAAACAGATGCCAGGGTTTCATGCCACATATGTGCTAAAAAAATGAACATGTGTGTCTGCTCAGAAGTTTATATACAAAAGCTCATGGTGGTCTTATGACCACCTTCCCCAAAAAGAAAACAACCCAAATGCTTATTAGCTGATAAACAAATGTGACCTATACATACGTTGAACTAATATTTTTTGAACATTTTATTAAAAATTTTTGGGGCCCAGCAGCGTGGCCTAGCAGCTAAAGGCCTTGCCTTGAACTCCCCGGGATCCCAATATGGGTGCCGGTTCTAATCCCGGTGGCTCCACTTCCCATCTAGCTCCCTGCTTGTGGCCTGGGACAGCAGTTGAGGATGGCACAAAGCCTTGGGACCCTGCAATCACTTGGGAGACCAGGAAGAGGTTCCTGGTTCCCTGCTTCGGATCGGCTCAGCACCGGCCGTTGCGCTCACTTGGGGAGTGAATCATCGGAGGGAAGATCTTCCTCTTTGTCTCTCCTCTCTGTATATCTGGCTTTCCAATGGATAAATAAATCTTTAAAACAGCAACAACAACAAAAAATTTTATTAAAAATTTTTTGAAGATTTGTTTTTATTGGAAAGTCCGATATATAGAAGGGAGGAGAGACAGGGAAAGATCTTATGTCCGCTGATTCACTCCCCAGGCAGCTGCAATGGCTGATACTGAGCCAGTCTGAAGCCAGGAGCTTCTTGTCTCCCACCTGGGTGCAGGGTCCCAAAGCTTTGGGCCGTCCTCGATTGATTTCCCAGGCCACAAGCACAGGGAGCTGGATGGGAAGCCGGGCTACTGGATTGTGAACCAGCACCCATATGGGATCCTGACATGTGCAAGGTGAGGACTTGAGCCACTACGCTACTGCACTGGGCCCTCATTTTTTAAACAGAATATCCATTACTTTTTTAAAGATTTATTTTTATTGGAAAGACAGATATACAGAGAGGAGAGACAGAGAGGAAGATCTTCCATCTGATGGTTCACTCCTCAAGTGACTGCAATGGCTGGAGCTGAGCCAATCCGAAGCCAGGAGCCAGGAGCTCTTCCGGGTGTCCCATGTGGTTGCAGGGTCCCAAGGCTTTGGGCCGTCCTCAACTGCTGTCCCAGGCCACAGGCAGGGAGCTGGGTGGGAATTGGAGCCACCGGGATTAGAACCGGCACCCATATGGGATCCTGGCTTGTGCAAGGCAAGGACTTTTAAACCAATACGCTATCGTGCCGGGCCCCTTGATCTTTGATTTGACAAAATCTGCATTATTAAGACAGGTAACAAATCTAGGCTTATATTGAATCTGACAGATTTAAGATCTACAGTATCTAGAATATTATTTAAGAAATATCTCCTCAGAGGGGAAATAGCAGTGTGACCTGCAGGTGCTTCTGGCCAAAGGGAGCCCCGGTGGCAGGCGAGCTCCAGGGTGTGCAGCGCATCAAAAAATCCTCAAGAAAATTCAGTTGTGACTTACTCAGTGACATTTTTCCCCCCCTTTTTGGGGAAGAAGAGGTGACAAGGAGTAGGATTCAAAGGCATATGTAGAATGGCTTCTCCATGTCAAAGTGGTAACAGAAATATTTTATCATGGCACTAGGGCACCTTTGAGGAAAAGAAAGCCCTCCCCATGGTAGGTTCATTGCATAATTGTTGAATGATTATGTACAATTTTCAAGTAATGAAGTGGCCTGAAAGAATAGCTTCACCCCAGTGAATGGGGTGAGCAGATGGCGGTTGTCTGTTTTCCTTCTCGCCTCTGGGGCGGGATTGGCTTCTGCATCCAGGGACAGTCCACACAGTTTCTCGGGAACTGGCCTCTGATTCTTGAGGCACCTTCCACAAAGGCATCATCAAGAATTTTGTCTCCATATAACCAGGATTGTAAACCTCTTGGCCAAGATGAACTTCCCTTTTGTAGCTGTATCTGAGGCCCTTCAGTGCAGGGGCTTGTGAAGAGCTTTCCATTGCTTCATGCAGAGGACAGCAGGCCACACTGTAGTCACCTGTTACTTTGTAGCAAACTGTTAAGCTATACTGGTGACAGCCTTCTCCTACGTGAAACCCAGACCACTTCCATCTATCTCCCAAATCATAAGGAAAAACAACAACTTCATCTAGCTGATAAATACCGAATTCAATCGTTAGCCTTCTCTTCAATCCATGACTCAATGGAAGTTTTGTTTCTGAGAATTATTTTCATCTGCATAAAAAATAACATGCCAACTACTGTAGTTCCTAGCGCTAATCCCAAGGCAAACAAAGTGGCAGCAAATGCAACTAACCCAAGGGGACGATTGGAAGAAGGTCTCTCCAGGCTTCACTCATGTCAGTCCTGTGTTCCACCCAGAGGGCCGGTTATAAAGCTGTGTGTACATGGTCATAACAAAAGTGAAAGCAGCATGGATACAACCCAGTGGTGTAACAGGAGAAGCTGTGAAGGAAGCATGGTTTTGGTAACCACAACAATGATGATCCATCTTCCTTACACATCCGTTGCACTTCCGGCAGTGATGGGAACGTGGTGCTTTGTAAGCCTGGCAGACTTGACAATACTGGAGATAAATGGTATCCTAAGAATTTTCCAGTTTCCACCCCAGAGGGACAAAGCCCAAACCAACAAACATGGCATTGAAGTAATTATAAAGAATCATGACAGTCCAATTGATCAACATGATAAAATTCACACTTCCTCCCGTGGTATGTAAGGGCCAGTACCCCAGCACAGAGTCCATCATGGCCATGGCAGAGCATATGGCTGTAACCCCGAGGGCGATGACAGGGTTGCACTGACAGTCTCTTCAGTTCTTGGAGATTTTCAAACATGATGACTGAGCAGAATGTGCCCATTTTGGCAGGGAGGAAAGCCTTCCTACTTCGAAGGAATGACTGATTTCCTTTTTCTGTGCACACATTTCCATGTACCCCAAGTTCATGTGTGTTCCTTAGCTGTCATGTCTTCAAGCCTGGGAGCGTAGTGTAGATTACGCCATCTTCTCTGCTAAGAACTCTGACTTTTTTTTATCCAGGAACAGATTTCCTCCTCCTCGGGTAATACCGTCATGGACACCTCAATCCAGGGCAAACCATGAGCAAAATCTCATCCATGTGGCTGGGGCACAGGACCTCCCCCCAGAGTCCGCGCCTCTCAGCTGGTGCCCTGGCCACTGCTTCCCTAATTTTTATTTTTGATGATGTTTACATAGTTGAACAGGGTGGGAAGGGTCAAGCGTTAGGGGAAAGTGGGAAAGACCATTGTTTACGCATTTTCTTTTGCTTCCTCCTGTAGCTGGGAGCTGGGAGGATACAATTGGAGAGACCACACCCAGCCTCCCCAGTACCCAATATCATCCTAGGGTCCCTGTTGTGGAGCATGTTCTGAGGGTTTTGCCCAAGTGGTTTTCATAGTTCTGAGATAGTTTCACTGCTCCAAGGGTGAGGAAATCCTTTCAAGGTCAATTGGCTGACGTAGTCCACCTCAGTCTCCATTTGCCCAGAAGTTGCTGTCAAGTTTCGCTGTGGTAGTTGATTAGTTTGTTCTGTCCTTCTGCAAGCCAGTGAGTGCTGTGGCCCAGTCCAATCCTGCCCACCACATGCTTGGGCCCTCCTGTAAACCAGGGGAAACTGAAGCCCAGCGACCCCTCAGTAACCCCCACTGGACCAGCCCCCAGCTCTGGTGCCTGTGGCATGTGCAGTGGACTGGTCCAGTATGTCCCACATATTCAGCTCTCATACATATCACTGGGCATTGCCTAACTTGAACCGGTTGACTCCACCCTCTAACCCACACTCGTGCTATTGGGTGCCATCACCTGTCCAGCCAGGCCTGTCCCAGTCCTGATTCTTATGCTCACCAGTGGGAGTTGCAGCCTCTTAGAGAGGTGCCCACAGTCTCCCAATGGACCCATTCTCTTCCCGGGATCTTGACACTCCAGGTAGTTCTGCATTGTAGCTTGACAGGACTTGCCCCCAGTTCCAGCATTTGTCAGCTGTTGCTGCTGCAAAGCCCAACCTGCCTGCCCTTACTCTTGTTCATGCCTGTACCAGTATACAGTCGGTTACCCAAGCCTGGCTGTCCCCCTAACCCAGTTCACATGTAGTCCAAAAGGTGTTGTAGCCCTGCCCTGCCTAGTCTGCCCCCATCCCAGCTCTCACACTCATCTGCAGGAGCAGTGGCCCAGCAGGAGAGCCCCCCCCACCCCCACTCCCTTACCTGGCTTGTACACCTCTCGCTGTCTTGCATATGCTGATGGATGCTGTGGTCCAGTCTGGCATGGCTCATCTCACCCTGGCATTTACCAGCAGATGCTGTAGCCTGGCCAGCCTGGTTTGTCCCTGTTCCAGCTCTTGCTGGTGGGTGCTGCTGCCCAGCCCAGCCCACCCCAGCACAGTAGAGTCCCGGCCCTAATGTGAACTGGCTGGTGGTGTGGCCAGACCCAGCCCATTTTGCATCCAATCCTGGTTCTTAGATCTGCCAGTGGGTGTTATAAACTGGCCCAGCCAGGCCCACCCCTGGACCTGACCCACAAGTATGCTGGCAGGTACTACAACCTGGGCTGGGCTGGGCTGTTTCTTGCCTTGGTTCTTGTGTTCACCTGTAGGGACTGCGTCCTGACAAAGGAATTCCCCAAGTTTCTTATTGTGTCTCCTTCCAGTGGCAGATCTCACCAGTGGATCATTGGCCCAGGCTGACTTAGTCCATCTCCTGTCCTGGCAGAAACAGTAGCCTTGTCCAATTGGCCCATACCCAGTCTGCTTCTTACTGTTAGGGGTTACAAACCAGCCACACGTAGTCCACGTTCTGACACCTCTACGTGGTCTGGTGGGAGCCAAAACCTAGTCGAGCCCATTATACACCCACTCTGGCTCTCATGAGTACCAGTGGGTGCTGGAGTCTAGTCTAATTTGACGTACTCCAGACCCATGGGCAAATATTATGAAGGTAAAAAAGATGCTGCCAAATGTATGACCCTGAAAAACATACAAATGAAAAGCCACAGATCATATATTGTATGATTTCCTCCACATGAAATGTCCAGAATCAGCAAATGTGTAGAGATAGAAAGTAGATGAGTGTTTAGTTCTGGGGGATAAAAGGGAGCAGTGACTGGTGAAGTTTTCAGGGTTCCTTGTTGGCCTGTTGAACATGTTCTGAGTTTCGATCACGGTGTTAATCACACAACTTTGTAAATATGAGAGTTGTTTTCAATGGAAAATTCATTTTTTAAGATTGATTTATTTTTATTGGAAAGGCAGATATGCAGGGAGGAGAGACAGGAAGATCCTCCATCTGCTGTGGCCACAATGGCTGGAGCTGAGCTGATCCAAAGCCAGGAGCCAGAAGCTTCTTTCCGGTCTCCCACGCAGGTGCAGGGTCCCAAGGCACTGAGTGGTCCTTGACTTATTTCCCAGGTCACAAGCAGGAAGCTGGATGGGAAGTGGATTATCCAGGACATGAACCAGTGCCCATGTGGGATCCCAGCACATGCAAGGCGAGGACTTGAGTCACTAGGCTACCATGCCGAGCCCCATATCTTTCAATACAGTTTCCCTGAAGTCCTACATCATACATTTATTTTTATTTGAAAGAGACAGACCTCCCACCCACCGGTCCAGTCTCCATATGCCTGTAACAGCTGAGGCTGGATCAGGCCAAAGGCAGGAATGAGGAACTCATTCCAGATCTCCCATGTGAGTGTCAGGTACCCAACCATTTCAACCACTGCTGCTGCTTCCCGGGGTGCTTACGCGCAGGAAGTCGAAATCGAGAGTGCAACAGGATCTGAATTTGAAGCCAGGCATGTTGATATGGGCTAGAGGAGTCACAAGCAGTGTCTTTAACTGCTATGCCAGATGCCTGCCCTTTCATTAACTTTTTGAAATCCTCTGATATACTAACAGGTATTATGATTTTTAAATGAAGTTTATGGTATTCAAAATAAGTATCATAAAAACCTTTTAAAGACAGAAGGAGAGAAGGGAAGGAAGAATGACAGTGGCTGACAGGTTTTTCTGTTTTCATTTACATCTGGTTCTTGTGCATATGCGTGGTTAGGAGTAAGATACAGCTATCTCCTGGGGTAATTTCTGCTGTTACACTAGAGTGCATTTCTTCGTTAATGATGGGTATGTTGGCTGGTCATTTAAGTCTTGGGGTCTCCAGGTTCCGTGTCCTATATTAACAGCCATGTGATTCTTGTCATGCTGCATTACTTTGTGGAGTATTTGTTTTTGAAGTTAGATATTTTTTGCGTTTTCATTCCTCAGAAAATTGCTGTGAAGGTAAAATGTAAGAGTACTTGGAAGGCTGAGTAAATGCACAGCAGGGGTAAGATTCCTCAAGTTCTCTGTGTTCTCTTTGCTAGGTGTAAGACACAAAGCTTTTCTAACAGCTGAGGACTGTTTTGAGTTGGGCAAAGTGGCCTACACAGAAGCCGATTATTATCACACAGAGCTGTGGATGGAGCAGGCACTGAAGCAGCTGGAGGACGGCGAGGTCTCCACCATTGATAAAGTCTCTGTTCTAGATTATTTGAGCTACGCAGTGTACCAGCAAGGAGATCTGGATAAGGCACTTGCGCTGACAAAGAAGCTTTTGGAACTAGGTAGGTTATCTGAGTCAAATTTAAGGTTATAATTCTGTTTAGGACATCTATTTACCGTACCCAACTTATCCATCTGTGCACTCATCCATCTTTGGTACTTTTTATGCACCTTACCTGTCAGGCATACTTGTTCTTCTCTTTGATTGTTTTCAGAGTAAATAACTGATTTTCTAACCACAATACTGACTGCATTTTTCCATTCCTGGTTCGTCAGGAATTTTAAAGTTGGATGTAATTCAGCTGACTTTATCAAAAATGGTTACAATATTACCATGTTAAGTATTAACCAACTTCCTTTGAAGGATGTTTTTTGTTTTCAAATTTCATATTAAAATAAGTGATCTGAGATGAAAGGACTGAAAACATGTTTGTTGTGTTTAAAAGTACCAGAAAATTGTATCAGCTAATGAGGGTTTTGCCACTGGTACTTTGAACAGAGATATGCTGTTTAAGTATTGTCCAAGGACCCTGGGCATCAGAGCTATGAGATACTTCTTACAAATGGAGATTCTTTGATCTCTACCTAAGATCTGCTAAGCCATAATTTCTAGATATGGAGTCCAGTATCTACACAATAATAAATTTAGGTAACATTTGGATGTAGTGAAACTTTTTAAGAAAGTAATTAGAAATAGGAAACTACATTTTTTTGTTAGAAGAGTCAAACAGCTCATAAGAATCTGAAAATAAACTTCTGGTTAATGAGTTATTGTTTGAATTAGTAAATAGAAATACTAGTTCATACAGTTTTTTCTCTCGTTTTTATCCCTCCAGATTTAAAATGTAATTTTTACTCATTGTAAAATTTTTACCAAAACAGAGATGTCAGAATCATTCACAAGCCAGTTGCCCAAAGCTGGCCACAGAAATTTGTGTATTTATGGTATGTGCCTCCTCCCTGTCCACACGCATTTCCTTCCCTTTTTTAAAGTTAGGCTTATATTGTGTATCATAACATAGGCTGTCAGCAGTTTCTGAAGGACAAGAAATCTTTCACAATCTAGAAGCACTGGTTACTGCCACGGGTGATGTACCCACATGTGTTTCTACTTTTGTACATGTGTGTTGTGTGTATGTGGTTGGATTGACCATTTTTTTTTCTCCCAGATGGGCAGTGTGGTCTTTTCCCGTACTAAAAGATGGCTAAAAATTGTGACTAGCAATTCTGAGGCAGCTATGGATTATGGCTTATTTGGAAATTATATCTTAGATTCTCTTTCCCTGATTTAGAAATGTTGGGCGGAAATCTGCTTAGTTTTAGAATTCTTTAGTACACATTCTGCTTTTGTAGTGTATCTTTAGCAAAGGCTGATTTTGAAATATCTGTATCTTATCTTCCCCATGGAAGATACAAGTCCCCCCCAAAATCTTCCATTGCTTGAAATTAGTAGGACGGATAAGAATTTACAATTAATTTGACATCAAATTGAAAGTAATTCCTTGGTTTGATTAGTAGGTTCTCAAAATAGAAGCAGTAATTGCTACTTGAAATAAGTAGCTGTTATCTCCTGTTTATGTGTAGAGTGACTATATGCTCTGATTTACTTTGAACAGTATTAGTTTACAGGTGTTGCTTTGGTGTAATAATTTTTGTTAGCCATTTCATTCTTAAAAGTATCCTGATTTGGAAGATAACTTATGTGGCTCCCTATTTTCATACTACTGTATTTTGATTCTTAAACAACTGTAAACTTACCCATCGACATGCTTTCTTCCTCTGTACATAGATCCTGAACATCAGAGAGCTAACGGTAACTTAAAATATTTTGAGTATATAATGGCTAAAGAAAAAGATACAAATCAGTCTACTTCAGATGGCCAGTCTGATGAGAAAGTCGCGCCGAGGAGAAGAGGGGCTGCTGTGGATTACCTGCCCGAGAGACAGAAGTACGAGATGCTGTGCCGTGGGGAGGGTGTCAAAATGGTAAAGTGGAAAAGCTAATCGTGCGTGTGATTGTGCTTATGTATGTCTGCACACAGTTCGAGAGAGACCAGAGTTCTTCATATTTAAGGCTTTAGACTGAGAATTAGCATGGTTACATACAGTGCATGTCACATGAGTCATTGTCAGTATCACTCTTAATATGATCCATCCGTTAGTAAAATAGATTTGAAATAAGCTTATGAAACCATTATATGTATTTTTCATAGATCCTAAACAAGGGTGAAGAACTCAATATAGTTTTAGTGGTAATCTTATATTTAATACAAAACAGATTTGAGTAGTCTTATTTTCAGCTATCTTAAGTAGACCATCTTATGCAACATCATGAATTCTTTTACATTGTCGTGTTTTATCTCCCAATCTTAACAGATTGTTAGTGAATGTTTTTGTTAAAGTACTACTCAACATGCAGAAAGGGTTTCAACAGATTTTGATATTCTTTAAATATCAAAATGTACCCATAATAATCCCTTTGTTTATTACAAATTTATAGTGACATATGTAGTACCAGTTCCTCTGGATTTTAATAGATAGTAGACCAAAATCATAAACGCTACTTATCTGAGGAGCATTTGATCGACACACCTGACTGTTTAACCTCGGGACTTCTCAGAGCCTTTTTATGTTGACATGATATGCATTGTTTCCAAGAATTAATTTGTCATGGGACCTTTATTCCAAAGATTTATTTGTTTCAAAGGCAGAGTTAGAGAAAGAAGGAAAGAAGGGGGAAAAAAGGCGGGGGTGGGGGAGGGAGGGTAGACAGATGATTGATCCATTGGCTCCCAGCGGATGTGAATGGAATTGGCTGCATCAGCTAGGGCTGCGCCAGCCCAAGTCAGGAGGCTTGAACTTCTTCCCCTGATCTGCCATGGGGGCAGCAGTCCCAGCCTATGGATCAACTTTTGCTCCCTTCCTAGGCTTCATTAGCAAGGAGTTGGATTGAAAGTGTAATAACAGCTAGGTCTTGAGCCAGTGCCATATGGAATGCTGGTGTCACAGGTGGTGCTTAATCCATGACACCCCGGCAAATAGAGGCTGTAAGGAACTATAATACCACTGTCATACACTAAAAGATTCTAAAAGTTCCATAATAGCATCAAATACCTACTTAACAGTCAGATTTGCAACAGTGAATATTTTTGTTGTCCTGTTAACTCTTAACAATTAGAGTGGAATGGAGCATGGGCACTAATCAGAGCCAGTTTACCAGTTTGTTGAAGTTGCACATGTGTTGGCACTGCCCAAGATCACAGGAGTGTACTTTTTTCAGAATAGTTACATCAGTCTCATCATTATATAAAAGATTTGATATAAAGCCTTGAATTTGAAGTACATTCAGAATAAGCAAGAATTATTTGTCTTAGTATATTATTTAAGAATTAAAACTCTTGTTTTCCTGCTTTATGTATGACATATTTGTTTAATCAAGAGAATGCTCAGAAGCGAAGTAACATGTTTCATTAATACAGTAGCTTGGTGATGAAAAGGCACATTTCTGGGCCAACATGGTGGTGTAGAAGGCTTTGATATCAGCATCTCATTTGGGCATTGATTCAAGTCATAGCTGCTCTGCTTCCAAACCCAGCTGCCTGTTTATGGCTTGGGGTGGTGGCAGAGGATGGATCAAGTTCTCGGGCCCCTAAACCCACATGAGACCCAGAGGAAGCCCCTGACTCTATCAGTTCAACTCTGGCTGATGCTGATGCGGCCATTTGGGGAGTGAATCAGTAGATGGAAGATGGTTCTCTCTGTCTCTCCTACTCTCTGTAAATCTGTCTTTCCAATACTAATAAATAAATGTTTTTTAAAAAACCTTTCTGGAAAAAAATGTGTTTGTCTTCCTGACTATTCTATCTTTATACCCTCAAAGAAAGCACATTATTCCTTTGACAACTTTTTATTATTTTTTTTATTTAAAGATTTATTTTTTATTATTTTTTTTTTTATTGGAAAGGCGGATATACAGAGAGGACAGACAGGAAGATCTTCCGTCCAATGATTCACTCCCCAAGTGAGTGCAATGGCTGATGCTATGCCGATCCGAAGCCAGGAGCCTCTTCCGGGTCTCCCACACGGGTGCAGGGTCCCAAAGCCTTGGGCTGTCCTTGACTGCTTTCCCAGGCCACAAGCAGGGAGCTGGAAGGAAAGCGGGGCTGTCGGGATAGAACCGGCACCCATATGGGATCCCGGGCGTGCAAGGCGAGGACCTTAACCACTTGCGCCACTGCGCCGGGCCCCAACTTTTTCTCTTTTTAAGAGCTGTTCATTCTTTTGCTTTTAAAAACATCCCGCACTGCTGCAGTCCCCCCATGCCTGCCTGTTTGCTACAAGCGTTTAACTGCGAGCTACATAGGAAATCTGGTTTTGTTTTCCTTTTAAAAATGATGACTGGTTCCTTCTTAGTTTTTTTTGTTGTTGTTGGAGCAATGCCAAGTATTCATTTCATATTTTCACAAATATTTCATTGTCATAGTTTTTGGACTTTATAATGATGAGAAAAGGTTTAAAACAGAAACCTACTTTTTTTTTTTTTCAATTTAAGGTTTCTGCTCATCCCAGAGGTAATCATTAATAAAAATTTTAAAACAGAGGTACTGTTGGGTGGAGGTTATTTGCACAGTACTGCTTCTTTCATATATTCTTGAAGAGTTATCTCTACTTCTAATGTCATCTGCAAGAATGAATATTTCCTATTTGCGCAGGAATAGGTACTTAAAATATTAATACCCTATTGGTTTTATCATATTCTATTTTTAGACTCCTCGGCGACAGAAAAAGCTCTTTTGCCGCTACCATGATGGAAACCGGAATCCTAAATTTATCCTGGCTCCAGCCAAGCAGGAGGATGAGTGGGACAAGCCTCGTATTATTCGCTTCCATGATATTATTTCTGATGCAGAAATTGAAATTGTCAAAGATCTAGCAAAACCAAGGGTAAATAATCATTTTGTTTTTCTTCCCCTTCAATTTATAATGCATGTGTACTGATTTTTGCTTTGGAAAGTAATTGAAGTGGCAGCTGCTGTGACTAACACCACAGATACTCTTAATGCTATGCCGGTTTTTTGTTTTGTTTTTTTTTTCCAGTTGGTTGCCAAAACAAATAATATACTCTCCAACTAGTTTTAACAACTAATTTATGAAAAATATGGATGAGATTTTTATTCATACTTGGCAATTTTGTGCTTTACCATCTTTCTGAAAGACTTTTCAGTTTATTTTTCAGCCTTAATTCTAGAGACCAATAAAATAATTACCTTTTTTGCATTTTCTATATTTTATCCAAAAGGTACTTAGAAGTATTTTTATTCTTTTTTAGGCACATTATTATTAGGAAAATAAAATTAGAATGGGCGTGATACTAATCTGAAATAGTGACATCAATAGTTTTCTGTTTGCCTCACAGTAAAACAAAACAAAACATAAAATCTTTGTGTTTAGCCCAGGACTATAAACTTGAGGGTTTAGCAAGGAAACTCTAACATCGTGAGAGTGGGCAAGATTAGCCTTCCCGCTCCTGCCTGTTTTCCCATCGGCGTGTTATTAAACCTCTTGGGTCTTCATGATAGTAAAATAGAAACTATGTCACTTGCATAAAAACACTCGTGAATGAATGCTCAGCATGTTTTTATTTTCTGTTGCACAGTTCTTGGCAAAATGTGTTCTATAACAGTCAAGTTAGTAAAGACTCCTTAGGCTCTGTAGGCCATACGGTGTCTGTCATAGCTTACTCTGACATTTTAGTGCAAAAACAGCCAAAGAAAATATGAAAATGAAAGTGATTATATTCCAGCAAATTTCGTTTTTAAAAAAGATTTGTTTATTTTTATTAGAAAGTCAGATATACAGAGAGGAAAGACAGAGAGGAAGATCTTCTGTGTAATGATTCACTCCCCAAGGGGCCACAGCAGCTGGCACTGAGCCAACCTGAAGCCAGGAGCCAGGAGCCTCTTGTGGGTCTCCATGTGGTGTCAGGGTCCCAAGGCTTTGGTTCGTCCTGGACGGCCTTCCCAGGCCCCATGCAGGGACCTGGATGGGAGCCGCTGGGATACGAAGTGGCGCCCATATAGGATCCTGGGTGTGCAGGGCTAGGACTGGCTGCTAGGCTACCATGCCGGGCCCAGTAAATTTCATTTTTAAGGCAGCTGAACTCAGCCTGTGAATTTGTTCACCTTTGTTATATCCTAAAGGTTCAAATTATCTGGATTTCTGTGTTGTAAAATGAACTTAAAAATTTTCAAGTTTTACTACTTCACCAATTTGTTTCCAAATTTTTTTTAAACCAAAGAAGTATTACAAATCAATACATTAGTACTAATATATCAGAGTGCTCTCCAATGTGGGTTTTTCTAAATCTGCCAAGCTAAATGCTGCATATAATTACATGATACTGTGAGATTCTCCTTTGGATTTTATTTTGGTCCTTTATCTGTGGTCAGTAAACCTGTCAACCACAATGTCCTAGTAGACTGTTCAGTTAGAATTGTTTACCTCGGAGTTAGGGATGAGTTCTTTGGTCTCTGGTCTGAAGTCCCTGCCCTTGAAGGCGAGTCCTCAGTTGGACTGTATCTGGTCAGTAAAGTCGTGATAATAAAATTTCATACTCTTGTTAACCTCAAAATCATCCTCCTCCCCCTTTTCTTTGATTTGTCATTATCTTGGCTGTCATCTTTGTCATTTTTTTTGTCATTGTTTTTTAATGAGTTCTTTTCATGTGCCTCTGTGCTCATTCCAAGATTTTTTTACTATATATCTCACTGAGTGGCTATGCTGATGGAAGATTGCCTTGAAATGAATTTTATACAATATTAACTTTTACAAAGAGTTCCATCACTAAAAAAAAAAATTATTGTAGCCATAGATCAGGTTTAAACAGGTTTTTTTCTTCACTTTTATATCTTCTAATCATTGAAAAATTTTCATTTCAAATCTCTTGTTTATGGATCTTTCATCCATGTTATGCAGAATAATTGTTGGAAAATAAAAAATCTGAAAAACCAGCTGGCTTTCCAGGCTCAACACAAGGTGACTGGAAGTGTATGGAGTTATTTTCTCTTTCCCTTTTCCTGTGTAAAAAATCCCAGAATTCTGACTGGTTGGATAAATGTGATTCATTTTTTGTCTTGTAATGCAACTATTTTGATGGTTGGCTTCACAGCTGAGGCGAGCCACCATTTCAAATCCAATAACAGGAGACTTGGAGACGGTACATTACAGAATTAGTAAAAGGTAAGAGATGTGTAAGCTGCATATTTTGACCTCTAATAAGTGTTTTATACACCTTACAGGAATTAATAGTCACGTAGGGAAATAGGTCATTTTCAGGCTCCAGCTCAAGTCGTCACTTGCATAAACACAGGATAAGGCATGGATGAACTTTGTGTCTCACAGGTCTTTCTCTTTAACTAGAAGTTTTGTCTTTAATTATAATTGGTCTCTTATTTTTGGAGAATTAATATGCTCAGTATCTTCCTTCAGATCAAGTATTGAACATCCCCAAAATAGCCTCACGTAGTTTCCTTTGGCCCTTTTGTAGCCACAGGGGAAAGTAATAAAAAGGAGACTGGTGAATCTGGGAGTGGCCCAATGCCCATGGCTCATGTCCCTAACTGTAATTATTCACAGCAGCTTTCGTGCTGATTGTGCTGGCGTTTGTTTGTGTTATAAAATAGTGTTCTGGAATAATCTATAAAATTTCTTTTAAAAAAAGCTTACTCAGAAATTGCAATGGAAACAAAATTGTGCTTCTGAGCTCTGTCTCCTAAAAATTGCTTGTGAACTTTAAATTTGCCAGGATGACCAAAAGATTGTTTCCTCTCCAAGAGAGGATTAAAATATGAATTGAAACAGAGCACTGATTTTTCTTCCCCAAAATATGTGAAGAACATGAAACTTCTAGGTCTGTGAAAGCACCTGGGAAACTCATTGCTGCCAATCATTTTTATAAAGCTTCAAATGATATTTAAAAAAAGTGAAAGGACAATAAAACTATAAAATCTGTTAACCCATTTTTCTCTTGATTTGGAAGTGGCTATTAATGCCATCCCTCTCCACATTTTACGGATGTGAAACCATTTCTATCCTGACCAATCTGAACCCTTCCAATCACCTGTGGCTTGGCAACACAAAACCACCAAAAACCCAAATTGCCTGCTACTAGAGTAAGTCCTTGTCCTTTCTCTTTTTTTTTTTTTTTCGTAGCTAAGCCGAGCTACAGTACATGACCCTGAGACTGGAAAATTGACCACAGCACAGTACAGAGTATCTAAGAGGTAAGGGAGCAATGCAGAGAATTCTAGAAATAATCGAACTATTTTCTTTCTTGAGAATCTGGTTTTTACAAAGCTCATGATACGGGGTCTAAGAGCAAGGCTGTTAGGCATAGCTATTTGATAATACCCGTGAATTTTCTTGACAGACTAATGAACAGATGGTATGAATCAATTGATAGAGGTTTTTAAATTATCTTATTAGATTATGAAGTGGCTGGTCAGGTTCCCCAGCTGTAACTGATAAGTGATATATTATATTGAATTAGGAAGAGTTCCAAGTATTCTTTGTAAAACGAGGCCTAATTTGGACCTTGTTGTGAAAAGCAGTTTCTGAATCCCTGGGTCACCCTCTAGGTGTAGGTATGGAAAAAGTAAATGGTTTGAATGATTACACAAAATATTTGTAAACCAATCAAATATTTGTAAACCTTTGTTTTAAGGATAATCTAAATGAGTTTTAGGTATATCAATTGGAACTCTCTAACGTAACTCGTTTTTCATTTCTTTATTAATGTGAAGAATGTTTCTTAGAAATATCATTGTGCTGAATTCTCTCATTCTAACAATAAGTAATATTTACCCATAGTAACAGTCACCAGAGTAACAGTCAGCCCCATCCATCTCATTCAGATGTCTTAATGTATCTACATAGTGTACTGCATAATGATTGTTTAGTGAGTGTTACTTGGAGTAAAGTATAAAAACAGTTATGGTGGTTAGAGGAAAGCTGCTTTGTCAATTACAAATAGAGAAGTATAATGTGCTGAGTGAAGGGTGTTCAGCTGCAATCATGTGTCATTTTTAAAGGGGTGGGGCACATCTGGCCTGCTGGCAGTGGCAGAATCATGTGGTCTGTCCCTGCCAAAGCAGCTGCAGGTGGAGACCTGGAATTCAGCAAGTCTGTAGCAGGTTGACTTTAAAGTAAATACTTAGGTGTTTCCCATGCATGATGTTATAAATACCCATGTGGCCTTCGAAGGAAGGAAATTCTCCTGCCCCGCTTTGCCGCTTGGTCTCTCTGCCTCAGCATTGTCAGCACTTGAAGTCAGGTAGTCATTATTGTGGGATGCTGCCCCGAGCTTTGAGTTGTTAGTGTTGTCTCTGGCACCCACTAGGTAGCTGTTGCACTCTTTCTCCAATTAGGACAGTTGAAAATGCTTCTAGACATGGCTAAATGTCTCTCTCTAGCCAAAATCCTTGCTCCTACCCACAGGGACTCCGTCTCTCCAAGAGGGAAAAAGCACGAAGTAAAATTTGCAGTATTAATATTTTAAAATATTTATTTGAAAGGTGGAGCTAGAGAAGGAGAGATAGGGATGCTAGTTCAAGTCCTGGCTACTCTACTTCCTGTCTAGCTCCCTGCTTGTGGCTTGGGAAGGTAGTAGAGAATAATTGAAGTCCTTGAACGCCTACACCTACGTTGGAAATCCAGAAAAAGCTCCTGGCTTTGGATAGGCTCAGCTCAGGCTGTTTGGGTAGTGAACCAGCAGATGGAAATTTCTTACTCTGTTTTTCCTCCTCTCTGTAAATCTTTAAAAAATAAATAAAAATAAATATTATTATTTTTTTCTTTTTTTGAGCTTGAGTTTCCATTCACTGGTTGCCTGCCCAAATTGTAGGAATGGACCTGGTTGGAGCTGGGAGCTGGGCACTCAGAGTGGTGGTATGTAGGGGTGGGCCTGGTCGGAGCTGGGAAGTCTGTCTAGGTGGGTGGTAGGGATGGTAAGGATTCAGTCACCGAGCCATCACCTGCTGTGTCTAAGGGTGGACACTCATGGGAGCTGGAGTCTGGCACAAAACTCGGACTTTGACTCAGGCACTCACCAAGGGGATGTCGATGGCCCAACCAGTGCTTTAACAGTTGTGCCAAATGCTTGCTGCACAACCCACGTTATTTTTAATTTATATTATTTTATTTGAAAGGCAGAGACAATGATGTATCTGCTGGTTCATTCCTCCAGTGGCTGTTGTGGTTGGGATTTGGCCGTGCCCATACCAGGAGCTCAGAACTCCCATGTGGGTGGCAGAGATCCAAGGACTTGAGGCATCACCTGCTAACTTTTAGGGTGTTCCTCAGCAGGAAGTATGATCTTAAGAGGAGGAGCCAAGACTCAAACTCAGTCCAGCATGGGGTGTGGACATTCCAAGCTATACAGTCTCTCTATCAGTCAATCCTTCTCTCTGACTGACTGACTGACTGACTGATTGATTTGAAAGGCAATTACAAAGGGAAATACAGAGAGATTGTCCATCCTCTGGTTTACTCCCCAAATGAGTACAATGGCCAGATATAGACCAGGTTGAAGCTAGGAGCCAGGAGCTTCTTCTCAAGATCCCATGTGGATTCAGGGGCCTGAGCACTTGACCATCTTTTGCTGAGTTCCTGGGCACATTAGCAGGGAGTTGGATTGGAAGTAGAGCAGCTGGGATATGAAGCAGCACTCTATACGGAATGCTATTATTGCAGGCGGTGGCTTAGTCCACTATGCTCAGCGCCAGCTCCTAGCAGCCTCAGCTCCCAACCCCCAGCATCTTAACTCCTGCACGAAGTGTCATCCCTTGGTTCCCCGATGTGTTCTACTGCAGAGGAGGGTTCAGGATTCTTTCGTGGCCTACTGCAGAGGAGTTTAGCAGTCGCGAACTGTTAAACTTGTGATTCTTTCATGGCCTACTGTGGTGAGTTCAGCAGACCCTCCTGCTTTGTTGCCTCAGATGCTGAAGGACCACGTTTTGGGGTAGGGTGTCCTTAAATGAATCTGAAGACATGAAGAAAATTCAAATTGGCTGTAATCATAAGAGTAATTAAGCTTAAGTAATACTAGTAGATGGAGAGGATTTCCCAATTTAAATCAGTGTGTTTTAAGACATGATTTGTATTACTCTTCTGTTGAACTAAAGAATCTTCACATTTATAAAAGTGAAACTTGAAAAAAAGACATGGGGTCAAGAACTGAGGCTCAGCAAGATGCCACCTGTGACACTCATCTCACTTGTACTCAAGTTTGAGTCCCAGCTGCTCCTCTTTCTAATCCACCTCCCTGCTATTGCACCTGGGAAAGCGTCAGAAGATGGCCCAAGTGTCTGTGCACCTGCTGTCCAGTGGGGAGATCTGACTAGAGTTCCCAGTGTCCAGCTCAGCCCTGGCTCTTGCAGCTATCTGAGGAGTGAACTAGCAGGGAAGATCTTTCCCTGTCTCTGTAACTCATTCAAATCTTTTAAGAAAAAGACATGCTGTCATATATTTGGGCAAAAGTTATTGCATAATTTTATGTTTTTTTTTAAGATTTATTTTATTTTTATTGGAAAGGCGGATATACAGAGAGGAGAGACAGAGAGGAAGATCTTTCATCTGATGATTCACTCCCCAAGTGAACACAACGGCCGATGCTATGCCAATCTGAAGCCAGGAGCCTCTTCCGGGCCAACCTTGACTGCTTTCCCAGGCCACAGGCAGGGAGCCGGATGGGAAGCGGGGCCCCGGGATTAGAACCGGCGCCCATGTGATTTTATATGTTTTTTAAAAATTTTTTTTAAGATTTATTTTTAAAAAAAATTTTTTTAAAGATTTATTTTTTATTATTTTTCATTGGACAGGCGGATAAACAGAGAGGAGAGACAGAGAGGAAGATCTTCCGTCCTATGATTCACTCCCCAAGTGAGCCTCTTCCAGGTCTCCCACGCAGGTGCAGGGTCCCGGAGCTTTGAGCCGTCCTCGACTGCTTTCCCGGGCCACAAGCAAGGAGCTGGATGGGAAGCGGGGCCGCCGGGATTAGAACCGGCGCCCATATGGGATCCTGGGCGTGCAAGGCAAGGACCTTAACCATTGCGCCACCGTGCCAGGACTGTCATATAGTTTGTGGATTCCCAAGATTTGGCTGCCTTTAGGAAGCATGATAAAATGAAATTTAATGAATTCAGTGTGTTAGAAGACTTTTGGGGAAATTTTGTATGTATAAA